TATGACTATAAAAATTTAAAGATACATATTAAGAAATTTTAATCTGTTTATATTTGTTTAATGATTATTTTGAGAATTTAAATTAAGATTTTAGTTGAAAAATTTGTCATTCAAAGATATAGAATGTTTTACAGATTAAATTTACGTTAAATAATTTATTTGAGTTATTTAATATATATTGAGATTTAATCAACTTGAATATTGAATAAGTTAAAGATTTGTTGTTGAAATAATTTTGAAAGCTTGAAAATTTTGTAAATTGAGAATTTTATGAAATTAAATAAAGTTTAGGTTTGTTATAATTTAAAGAAAGAAGTTGTTTGGTTTGAGAAAAATTTTTAAAGGAGACTATAATAAATAATTGAAAATTTTAATATAAAATATTCAGATTTAGGGTAATAAAAATATATTTACTTAAGTTATTAATTTATAGTATATTAAATTATTCATAATTAAATAGTCTTATATGCTAGATTGTGAGAGTTATATATTTTGTTTAGAGGATAGTCTTAGAATTTTAGAGTAGTTTTTGGTGTAGTTTTGAATTTTATATTAATAAATATTTATGTGTAATTTTGTAGACTATTGAGAATTTTGGAGTAATCTTTGTGTGAATATTTGTAAGCTAAAATGTACCAGTAATTTTGAACATTTTTGGGTTAAGGTGCACCCAACACCCCCAAGTATTTTTTCAGGTGCACCCAATGGCCTAAAGTAATTTATGGTGCAATTTCGCCCTCAAAGTAATTAAAACGGTGCACTGGTATCCCATGCTAATAGATCTGTTACTTTGACTGTGAAATTGATGAGTAGCACAAGTTTGATCAAAATAATCTAACCTGGCGTGTCTAATAAGCAGGTGACGTGGCTTTTTTTGTTAATTCCTTTGTTTTGTCCAAATATTATCTCTGAAATATTGCGTCTGGGGTGAAACAACTCGCAAAGGAAAATGAAAGTAGGCTTTTCTTCTCCATGTTTTGTCTTCAGCAAATCGTAATCCCTGTGATGTGAAATTTTCTTCTCTGACCAAATCGATTGATGTTTGTACTTGTTTTTCCCTCTATGTCAGTAGCCACACCCATTGAAATCTGAGAAACATTGCTCATCTATTTGTGCCCCTTTCTGCATTTGAAAATCTGATGGGTGAATCAAACTCAGATTCGACGGCGACGAGCAAAAGAAGGATTGGTTTGGTCAGACAAGTTGGAATAGAGACCGAGTATGAAGGGCGTCAAAGGAATTGTTTGTTTGTCTTGAATATATTCTTGAATATATTATAGAGAGCCGATTAGCCAAATCTAATTCTTCAATATATTCTTGAATATATTATAGAGAACCGGTTAACCAAACATCGAGAAGGGTTGTTTGTTATTGGGCCTTATCACAAAAATGGAATATATTTTGTCGGTCTAAACCAAACAAACAATTCCTTCAGTCTTTCATGTTTGCTTTTGAAGCTAATGAATTTGATAAGTTCTAAGTAAATAATAATTATAATTTTCGAACAAACGTACAAGCATGTCAAGATTCAACATAAATATATTTGGCGCAATCGCAAACCCCTCTACTACCAAATGTACAAGCATCAACCAATTTCTAGATCAACTTACTATCAATTTAACTTACTTGGTTGTATTTTTGGCACCCGTAAAACCTTCTGCTAGGGTTCTTCTCACTCCATGCTGTCCATCAAGGAGCCACCGCACCACAAAATAGAACTTCAACGCCCTTCATACTCGGTCTCTATTCCAACTTGTCTGACTGGCTCTCTATAATATATTCAAGTATATTCAAGAATTAGATTTGGCTAACCGGCTCTCTATAATATATTCAAGACAAACAAGCAATTCCTTTGACGCCCTTCATACTCGGTCTCTATTCCAACTTGTCTGACCAAACCAATCCTTCTTTTGCTCGTCGCCGTCGAATCTGAGTTTGATTCACCCATTAGATATTCAAATGCAGAAGGGGGGGGCACAAATAGATGAGCAATGTTTCTCAGATTTCAACGGGTGCGGCCACTGACATAGAGGGAAAAACAAGTACAAACTTCAATCGATTTGGTCGGAGAAGAAAATTTCACACCACAGGGATTACGATTTGCTGAAACGAAACATGGAGAAGAAAAGCCTACGTTCATTTTCCTCTGCAAGTCGTTTCACCCCAGACACAATATTTCAGAGATAATATTCAAACAAAACAAAAGAATTAACAAGAAAAGCCACGTCACCTGCTTATTAGACACACTAGGTCAGATTATTTTGGTCAAACTTGTGCTGACTCATCAATTTCACGGTCAAAGTAACATATCTGTTAGCATGGGATACCAGTGCACCATTTTAATTACTTTGAGGCAAAATTGCACATAAATTACTTTAGGTCACTGGGTGCACCTGGAAAAATACTTAGGGTGTTGGGTGCACCTTAACCCAAAATTTTTCATGTACATGTGAATTGTGTATGATTATATTGTGGATTTATTAATTTATTATACCATATTGAAATATATCTATGTATCATGACTTTTCAAATAAATGTTTTATTTTGTTAAGAATTATTGCTATTAATTATGATCAATATTTAAATATATTGAGTTATTGATACAGAAATTTTATTGTTACCTTACTTTAATAACATATTTGAGGATGTACAGCTGATGTAACATTATTTACTTATGACATATGTATTGTTGGATTAAGGATAGAAGGAAATTTACATGGATATAAAATTATCAGGCAGTATGCCATCACTCTGCACAGTGGATGACACTTGTCAGGGTCTCTTTTTTCATGTTTTCTTTTGGCAGGAAATTTATTGGAGCAGTGGGACATGTGATATCTCCTTATTTTATTTGTAAAGGACGGAAGCCATAATTCGAACTTGAGTTCTATATCTTTGACTAGATATATCTTTAGTATCAGTGAGCTTGGAATAATTTAGTAAGATGGATTAGTTCTTATTGGACTAAGTATTAGCCTATTGCTCCAATCAGCGGTATAAGGGTGGACGGTGATATAAGGGAGGCTGCATATTGCATTATTTTTGGATATATTAGAAAAATGATATTGGTATATCAATGAATCAAAAATGAAATTGAGTTGAATGTATAAAATCTATGATTTTGATACATAAATATATATACACATATAAACAGATTTTCGTCTATCATATATGGTTTGCTTGTTTAGGTTAGAAGTTCAGTAGTTACTGGGACGTTTGATCTCATCCCTTATATTAATATTTTTGGGTGAATGATCTAGTAGGAATCAAGAAAAGGCACTGATAGAGTGAGCTGTGAAGGCTTCTGTGCTTCTCAAACACATGCTATGTTATATTTTAATTACTATGACTATAAGGTTTTAATAGTTTATTTTGTTATGTCTGAAAAATATTTTGAAATTGATCTGTTTTGAATGCTAAAAATATGTATGGATTTTTAAATGAAGTATTTTATTGCGTATGTGGATACAATTACGTGAGGTGTTACAGAGAAGATTCTATGGGTGCCCGAACTATTGGAAGGTATGTGTGTGTTATATTGTTGGGTTAGTAAAATGGGTTGTAATTTTTTGCGACATTGTGCCGGGGGAATGTGGGTATTTTGTGTGGCATGATGAAGATGCAAATGAAAGGTCGAAGGTTGTGATTAATGCACTTGTGGAACATGTAGATAAACTTTTTATGGAAAATGTGAGGATGCGGACGTGAGAGATGCAAGGGGAGAAAGTCCAAATGAAGCAAACGAAGGTATTATTGGGGTGTATGGTGAAATGAAGTGCAGATGCAACAAGAGAAGGAGCTGGTGCTATTGAAGAAGCTGAACACAATAACAGCTAGTGTAACCATGTTGGAGTGAATCGAAATACTCCTCCGATCCTTAATATAAGACCCATTTAACTAATTTGATTAAATTAAAGAAGTTAGGTAAGTTAGTTAATTATAAGAAAAGTAACACATTTTTCCTAAAATACCATAATGATCTTTCTAATACCCCCTCTCCCTCTTCTACTTGATTATGGTTGAGGGAGTATTTATAGGGATAATTTAGAGAAAATTGATAAATATGATAAATGGGTCTTATATTTAGGACCAAAACTAACTCAATAATTGGGTCCTATATTAAGGACCGGAGAGTAGCATTTTTGAGATGTATTTTGGTGGTTAAATTTGGGAATTGTATTTTGTTTGTTGCTTGTTTCTTTGGGATATGTATGAGTTATTAGAATTTATATTTTACTGATGACAGATGTATTTTCTCAATTTATAATTTCTAGTAAAACCATGGTCCAAGAATATTCCTTAATTAGTTTTCTCTATCACATATTCAAGAATTGATTTTCTCAAGTACATATTTGAGAAGCTCCATAAGTTTTGCTAAATTATTTTTCTCTAAACTGTTTTTATCTAATATATAGTTGAGAACTGGTCTTTTCAAATATATATTTAAGAACTAATATTTGAGAAATTTTTCTATCAACTAAAGACTTCTTATCAAAACACTAATATTCAGCAACACACAATCAAAACACGCTTACTAACAGTCAACATAGCTAAACCGTCCAATAGGTCGAATATTGTCCCACTTAGAAATATGACGTGATAAAAATTGCGCCTCAAAATATGTCTGGGTTTAAATTGCGACAAACAAAAAACCTCGGGGGTGCGATTGTATTTTAACCCTTTTGAATATTAAAGCACAGACTATTTGTTTTCCTGATAACCACCATTCATATTCATGTCATGAGGCCCAGACTGAAGACGTGTATGATGGGAAGTACTGGACTGGATTTTAGGACGGCCCAACAGCTTAAATCCCTTCCGAAAACAAACTATTGAGAGCCTCTGAAATAGCATATGAAATCGAAAGAAAAGGTTTTTATTGTCAATCTCGCATACAACGCTCTCAGATTCAGCGTATACGGTGTGCCCCATAACATGGCAACATACGCAAGACTATGTAATCCTACTTCTGTCCGACACACAAACAATTCCGAACAAAGCTAACCAAGAGCGCCATGCATGTCAAGGTGAGGGAAGCTTGCCGCTGCTGCTTCTTCCTTCTGATTTCTTCTCATCTCCACATCCCCAAACCCAACACCCAATATTCCAATTACCACCGCCTCCCCAACCCGTCCGCCACCCCCACCCCCTCCTCCACCACCGCCCCCGCCGCCGCCTCCTCCCCCTCCACCAGTACCATTTCCTCCCCCCCACCCATGACCTTTCCCGTTTCCTCCTCCTCCGCCGCCCCCACCACTGCCACCTCCTCCCCCTCCTCCACCGCCCCCTCCGCCTCCTCGACTTCCGCCATTATTTATTCTCCCCCGTCCTTCGTGTCTGCCTTTACCTCCTCTTCCACCGGTATTGCTCACGTTCATATTCTGCTCAACTCTTATTTCGTCAGGAGTTGTAGCTGTAGAATTAACGAACCGGCCAGTGCCATCTACTCTCTTCACGCTGTCTTCACTTCTCACGTCAGCCAGACAAGCACCAAAGGCCACCACGAGTAGCAGAACAATCCCAAAAACTCTTCCCATGATCTCCATCTCTAATTAGTAATGGCCAATTCCTCAACCCAACAATGCATATATCGCTGCTCCCTCACCCCATCCTTTTATAGCCTTTGCGTTACAAAATACCGTGCCTGTAATTCCCATTGCCAAGCAAGTGCAGTCCCCACACTAACACATACCGTAAGCCTCCCACATAAGGCTGCAAAAGTTAGGCTGCAAGATGACGAAGTGATTCTGTCATTTTCCTTGCACTTCAATTTGTCCCCACTCCTATTTCTTACTTAATTCCTTACAAACTACTGCCCTTCATCAAGCCTCCAAGCATGCTGGGTTTTTAGCTACAAATAAATATCTTATCTGCACAATATATATATATATATATATATGTAAGTAGAGAGGCCCACAAATGGTGCGAGCATTTTTAACGTGAATATTTTGTTGAGGATGACCATATCTATCTGTCCTAGGCGCGCATGATTAGCAGAAAAGATAAACTTTTCGGAGTTGCCATTCAATAATATTTTAAGTCATTAACGTGTTCATCCCGAGCTTAATATGTTTAGTAATTTGTATCTGCCAATCATGTGTCTTTGTTTTATCATGCATACCACCAAATCCCCACCAGGGAAAGAAAACCACGAGAGAGGCTAGGCGCATATAATAGAGTACCCATGTGATTTGTTGAGTGGGTGCGTGCTCGCTTTTGCTTGACGATGAGAATTGTGCAGGATAGCTGTGCAAGTTGCAGCAGCCTATTGAAGACAATACAAAAAGGCCATTACCAAGGGACAGTACTTAGATACCTAGTTTTTTAATCAAGTACTTTTCACGATTTTCTTTAATTAACAAAAACATTTGTTTCTTCACCCATAACATTTTTTAAATGAAGTGCTTGATAGTAAATGCCTCAAAAACTATACGTACCTAAATTTTGGTTTGATGAAGGAAGCTCGGAAGCGCATTACGAGATAAGGCTAATGGGCTAGTGCCAAAGGGAAAAAGTTGTTGTTGGAATAAAATTCAACCCACACTGGTAGTTATTTAAAACGCTTGGCCATTATTTAATTAATTTTAAACAAAGTCGTCTATTTGAAATTAAGGTTCTGAGGCATTGAGGTATTTTGCTGCGGAATTGATTTGTAGAGGCTAGAGGGATATATATTTTTGATAATTTGTCGAGGGTCAGACTGCAAATTCACAAACTTAATTCTATAAATAGGAAACCAGTTTCAGTGCTCATGCAGTAATAAATACTGAGATACTCATCGTTGTGGCAAAATCTATACCATTCACCTACAGTTTTGATAGTCCATATTTAAAATTTTCAAATAAAAAATTTTAAATAAAAAAATATTTTTTTAAAAAAATTACAATTAAAAGATTGTATTTATTTTAGATTATTTATCTATTAAAAGAAAATATTTTTTAAAAACAAAGATATAAAAAATTAAATTTTGATTTTCCATATTAAATTTGAACGATTCGGATTTGATGAGCATTATGGTGATTAGTTTCTATAAAGAGAGCTCAGGATCTTGGGTTGGTCGTCTACTAAAAATGTTCTCTATCAGCCTCCTTTTTAATAGTTTGATCCAAAAATCATTTATTATGTGGCAGTAATTGTAGGCATTTCAATGCTAATCACAATGATAAGCACTATGATGCTCATTGCTATAGTGAAATTTGCATCATTCAAATATAGTTTTGATGGTCTATATTTAATTTTCAACTAATGTTTTTTAAATAAAATTTTTTTAAAAAAACTTACAGTTCAGATATTATTTTTATTTTGGATTACGTACCTATTAAAAGAAAATATTTTTTAAAAAGGAAAAATTTTAAAATTTAAATCTTGATCCTTCATATTAAATTTGAATGATTAGAATTTGATAAATATACTCATCACTGTGATGAGCACCAAAATTAATTTCATAATTGTAATTCGTAGTATTTGATCATTTAACAAGATTACCACTTAGTTTGAGGTACATTCCATGCTTATCATAAAGATGAGCATTTTCATTTAATCTAGGCTATTGAGAGTAATTTTGAATGGTCCAAATTTAATTTTAATTTTTTAAATAATTTTTTGATAAAAATATTTTTTTATTTTAATAAGTATAAAATCTAAAAATAAAAATAATCTTATAACTAATATTTTTTTTAAAAAAATAAATTTACAATTGAAAAATTTTAAATTTTAAATTTAAAATCTTAGCTATTCACATTGAATTTTAAATGGTCTAAATTGTATTACAGGAATGAGCAGATAGCAAGTATTAAATAACTAGTTGTGATAATGAGCATCTTAAAATCATTAGATTTAGACTATCCATATCTCATCTGAATAGTCCAGATTTAATTTTTTTAATTTTTATTTGTTCAAAATAATTATTTTAATTAGTATGGAATATAAAATAAAGATAATCTCTTAACTATTATTTTTTAAAAAAATAATTTTTTTGATTTAAAAATAATAAATTTAAAATTTAAAATTCGAGCTGTTCCAATGAGATTTAGATAATTTAACTCTGATGAGTTTAGAGTGCTTATCAAGGTAATGAGCATTGAAACTTGTTCCTAAATGAGGATGACAGTTATTGTCCAAAGACTTAATGTGTACTGGTATCCTGTCATAGAGTTTGATGCAAGATAATTATATCTCATTAGATATAAAGTTATTTAGTCATTAAGGTTCACTTTATCACATTGTGCTTGATTCATGATCTCACTGAAGAGGGGAGGACTTTGGAAATTAAATAATATTCATGCTACACATCCATGATTAATCTATGCCGCACGTTTGATTGTATTGGTGCATGTGACCATTGTTAGGTCTAGTCATGCTAAATTATTGATCCAATAAATCAACGGATTCGATTGATTATGCCCTGTACATACATATGTGTGTGTGTAGTGGCGTTATCGGGTGCCCATAATAAAGTTAAAACACATTTTTTCGTAACGTTTACACGTGTGAACCGGTGGGAGATTGTTAGAATAAAATTCAACATAAAGGGCCACACACGTAAATATTAAAAAGGTATGCCCATTATTTAATTAATATTAAATAAAGTTTGGGTGTTTCTGGTAGGGCCGTTCACAGGACGGGATGGGAAATCTATCCCTTTTCACATCCTTTTTTTTTTTTAAATATTTTTTGTCTTGTGATTAGATCTATTATAATGGACTCTGGTTGTTTTTTTCCTTCTATTTTTAGTTCTTTGGGCTTAGCCCTCTTGAAAGCGTTTTTTTTATTTTTTATTTTTTTGGACTTAGCTCTCTATAATGACTCTAAAATTCATTTCACCATTCTAAAAATCAGAAGCGAATATAAAACTCTAAATAAATAATAACCATTCAACTACATATGTCTTAAAAGCTACAAATATAAACATTTTGTATTACACATGTCTTAAGCATTTTGTATTTTTAACATTTAATAATTATAATATGATAAAAAATAAAAATATTATTATCAGGACGGACAACAATATCCTGTGTCCCGTCTCGTTTCGTCCCATCCCAGTCCCATTTTTGGTCCCCTCTCAAAAAAATTTCGAGACGGGTCTATCTCGTCTCAATATGGCTGGGAGACCGGCTAGAATGGGTCTATTTGATCACTCCTAATTTCAGGATATATTTGTCATATACAGAATTAACATGTGGAGACCAGATTGACATTTTTGATTTGCTGAGAGGCCAAATTGTAAATATCACAAACTGTAGTCGATAAACGGGGTCATGGTCCCGGGATAGGCTGTATGTTGGAAAGGTTTTCCCTTCTTAGAGACATTGAGTAATTTCGTACGATAACAGTATGGAAGACCAAAGTACCAACTTGTCAACCCATAAAATTGAGTAACACTTGTAATTACAAATTCAGGTATGCTTCCTTCCGCATTCAGCATCTTCTATTCCACCGAATTGATATGGGACTCTTCAGGCGAAAAAAAAAACAAAAAAGAATTGGCATGGGACTCTATGCAAGTTTATGAATTCGGTTGCAATCATTTATATGATCGATTGAGTAATTAGGAACAACTAGTTCCTTTTTTCGGGTCTCTCCTATTCGATGTTCCCAGAACTTGCTTAGTTAAGCCCGGCCGGCCCAAAAGGGAAGGCTGGGCCTATCTTCATTGAAGGCGCTAGACACCTTTTCTTGCCATCAAATATCCCTCTCATAACCCATCGTTTGTGAGTTAAGTGGTAAAAAACAAAAACCGCACCCTCATCAGCGGATGGGGTTTGATTCTTCATCATGGTGCCTGGTAAGGCATTATAGATTTGGAGGTGTCTAGGTAAATGCCTAAGGATTTGTTATAGGTTTGTCCTGCCCAACATGGTATGACCTATAGTTAGATCAAAGCTCTTACCCTTAGTTTGGATTAAAGGTGGTAATATGGGCCAACTTGTGGATTGGGAGTTGGCTCGTGGTGAGTTCGACCTATATGGATCAGGTTGGAAAAGTATTGTTTGAAGCCGAGTTAGCTTTTAGTCAACCCTAACCTGCCAATGCCCAACCCACGAACAATTATTTACTCTTCCGGTCCTAAATATAAAACCCTTATACAGTGTGTGTAAAGGTCTTATATTTAGGACTGGAGGAGTACTTTTAAAAAAAATTATCTTTTAATTTTTTTCTTATTCAATATTCGAAAAAATATAATGAAATTTTTGTTTTTTCCTTAAAATATTTGATTGAAAGTACCAAATAAATTATATAGGTATTTTTTAAAATTTTTTAGATGGAATATTATATATAATAATATAATTATAATAATTTTTAAAATATTTTAAAAATAAAAAAATAAATGCGGGTCAGCTCACAGGTGGGTAGGCTAACCCGTGAAGGGTTGCAGGCCTAGCGGTGTAGGTTAGAAAGATTGGTTTACTCGCCGCCAACTCATATTACTAGCTCTAACTTGGATTGAACTGAATGTGTGAACCCTGACCAAAATTTTTGCATCAAAAGAAAATATCCCACTCAAAATGCACTAAAGTGAAATGACCCTGCGCTCAACTCCATCAAA